CTCTCACTCACTCACGCACTGTCACTCACTCACTCACACTCTCACTTTCACTCTCACTCACACACTTTTACTCTCTCTCACACTCACTCACACTCTCACTCACACACTCACTCTCACTCACTTACACTCTCTCTCACTCACTTACACTCTCTCTCACTCACTCTCAATCGCACACTCTCAATCGCACACTCTCAATCGCACACTCTCAATCACACACTCTCAATCACACACTCCCACTCTCACTCACTCCCACTCCCACTCACTCACACACAATCTCACTTTCACACTCTCACCTACTCACTCACAAACACTCTCACTCTCACTGACTCTCACACTCTCAGTCACTCACACTCTCACTCACTCACACTCTCACTCACACTCACACACTCTCACTCAGTCACACTCTCACTCACTCTCATTCACACTCACTCTCACTCCCTCACACTCTCACTCCCTCACACTCTCACTCACACTCACACACTCTCACTCACTCACACTCTCACTCGCTCACTGTCACACTCTCACACATTCTCACTCACTCACACTCTCACTCTCACACTCCCACTCTCACTCACTCCCACTCCCACTCACTCACACACAATCTCACTTTCACACTCTCACCTACTCACTCACAAACACTCTCACTCTCACTCACACTGACTCTCACACTCTCACTCACTCACACTCTCACTCACTCACACTCTCACTCACACTCACACACTCTCACTCACTCACACTCTCACTCACTCACTCTCGCTCTCACTCACTCTCGCTCTCACTCACTCTCGCTCACTCACACTCACTCACTCACACTCACTCACTCACACTCACACTTTCACACTGTCACCTACTCACTCACAAACACTCTCACTCACACGCTCTGACTCTCACACTCTCACTCACTCACACACACTCTCACTCACTCACACTCTCACTCACACACACACTCTCACTCACACACACTCTCACTCACACACACACTCTCACTCACACACTCAGACTCACACACACTCTCACTCACACACACACACTCTCACTCACACACACACTCTCACTCTCTCACTCACTCAGACTCTCACTCTCACTCACACACACACTCTCACTCACTCTCACTCACACACTCACACTCTCACTCACTCTCACTCACACTCTCACTCACACTCACACACACTCACTCATTCACACTCACTCACTCACACACACTCTCACTCACACACACTCTCACTCTCACTCACACTCTCACTCTCACTCACACTCTCACTCACTACAATCTCTCTCACTCTCACTCACAATCTCTCTCACTCACACTCACACACACTCACACTCTCACTCACACACTCTCACTCACACTTTCACTCTCACTCACACACTTTTACTCTCTCTCTCACTCTCTCACACTCACACTCTCTCACACTCACACTCCCTCACACTCACACTCACTCTCACTCACTCTCACTCTCACTACAATCTCTCTCACTCTCACTCACAATCTCTCTCACTCACACTCACACACACTCACACTCTCACTCACTCACACTCTCACTCACACTTTCACTCTCACTCACACACTTTTACTCTCTCTCTCACTCTCTCACACTCACACTCTCTCACACTCACACTCCCTCACACTCACACTCCCTCACACTCACACTCACACTCTCTCACACTCACACTCACACTCACTCACACTCACACACACTCTCACAATCTCTCTCACTCACAATCTCTCTCACTCACACTCCCTCACACTCACTCACTCTCACTCACACACTTTTACTCTCTCTCACACTCACACACTCTCACTCACACTCTCTCTCACTCACGCTCTCACTCACACACTTTCACTCTCTCTCACACTCACACACTCTCACTCACACTCTCTCACACTCACGCTCTCACTCACACTCACGCTCTCACTCACACTCACGCTCTCGCTCTCACTCACACGCTCACTCTCACTCACACACACTCTCACTCACACACACTCTCACTCACACTCACACACACTGTCACTCACTCACACTCTCACTCTCACTCACTCTCACTCACACTCTCTCACTCACACTCACACACTCACTCTCTCACTCACACTCTCACTCACTCACACACTTTTACTCTCTCTCACACTCACTCATTCTCTCACTCACACTCTCTCACTCACACACTGTCACTCTCACTTTCTCTCTCACTCACTCACACTCTCTCACTCACTCACACTCTCACTCTCACTTTCACTCTCACTCACTCACACTCTCTCACTCACTCATGCTCTCACTCTCACTCATACTCACTCACTCATGCTCTCACTCTCACTCACTCTCTCTCTCACTCACACTCACTCACACTCTCTCACTCACACTGTCACTCTCACTTTCTCTCTCACTCACTCACACTCTCACTCACACTCTCTTACTCACACACTCTCTCACTCACAGTCACTCTCACTCACACTCTCACTCACTCACACTCTCACTCTCACTCTCACACTCTCACTCACTCACAGTCTCACTCACTCACTCCAAAATGGTGTATGTGTTTGAGAGGGGAATGGCCACAGGGGACTCCTGCAATGCCTGCACATACGTACCTATCTTCCTGGTGATACCGAACCCACCTCTGTCTGTGTAGCCTTTACTGATGGTGTGATCAGCTCGCTAAACATACTTTTCCATGACATTCTCAGCCTCATGGATGTGCTGCTCTAGGTGCTCCCATTGGCAAATCTGCAGCTGCAGCTGAATGCACTTCCTGCTTATGTGGTCACCATTAGGAATTGTCCCTAAATTCCCACATATAGCACGGGGAGCATTCCACAGAGCCGCACTCTCCTGCCATTGTGAACCTTACCAACAAAATCAACCTTATCACCCGCAGGCGATAATCCAAGAACTGATTACAGAATCTAATGCACGAGTCACTAAACTCAGGTCTCTCACTGAAGTTCTTCATCCTCCTTTAAATCTGATGCCAAATCCCAAGTTGGATTTGAACAGACAATAGTCAGAGAGATTCTGTAAACAAAGTCCCCAACAACTTGTTCACTTCTTACAGATGTCAGGGCTTTTAGCCCAAGTAGGGTCGGTGTCGGAGGAATCCACACAGGGGGCTCCAGGCACTGTATATCTGTTCCCTATTGAAGTTTCAGGTTCTGGCAAAGGGCTACTGGTTGGAATGCTTTCTGCTGCTGCTATCTAGAATAAAATGTTCAACCCATGCTTTTAAACTGATTTAATGTTTCACCAGAAATCATTTCCTCTGGTGTCTATATTAAATATCCAGTACTGAGGGAGGAGATTTTTTTGACCTATTCAGGGCAATCAAATATTGCTCTACAGAATGTTCCCCAAGTAATCTCATACCCTCTGTCCAACTTTCTAAACTGTCCTTAAGCTTTGAGCATCTAATCAATAGGCATATTCACCTTGATCACTTTCTGTGGTAGCGAGTTCCATATTCTCATCGCAGAACCGTAGAATTAGTCCAGTGCAGAATGAGACCATTTATCCTCACTGAGTAAAGATGTTTTTTTCTGGAATTACCTGTTGGATTTATTAGATATCTCCTAGATATAGGGCACCTGGTTCTGGTCTCCTTCACAAGTTTAAAATATCTTCAAGGCCTTTCACAATTTTAAAGACCCCTCAGCCTTCTAATTTCCAGAATGGTCCCAGTCTGTTCAATCTTTCCTAGTAGTTGTTTACATTGTATACAAATACAAAGAATACTTAAGCCTGAAACATTTACTAGTATTCACAAGGGTAATTGCAGTGATATTGTGTATTAACATGGTTATATTCACGCTACTTACACCACTTTCTTTAATGTAGTATTAGTGGAAGAGATTGCAATAAATCCAGATATTCCATGATAATCAGCATTGCAGCCTTCAATCCTGAAAAAGAACAATGGGTTTCTCTTCAAAATCTGGATATACCAAACCAGACAAGCAAACAGACAAGCCAATAGACAGGCAACCTGACACACAAGTAACACAAAAGACAGACAGACAACCAGACCAAACAACAGTAAAACCAACAAGCAGGCAAGCAACCAGACAGACAAATAGAAAACCAAACTGCCAGACAACAAGACAGACAGGCAGACAGTGAAACAGACTGAAATGCCCAATGCCATCAAGGTACCACAGTTCCTGTAGTGTTCTGTTGTCCTTTAGTGCATCACAAAGTTCTCTCAACTCATTATTCCCAATGTCTGTCCAGCCCAGACTGTTTGAGACAAATAATATTAAAATTAAACACTTAGCAGATTGCAGCATACACCTAACCAAAATGGCATTCATATTAAAGCCTTGAGCAATGTGCAAATTCTGTATTGACAACTCATTCAGACAATAAATGTGCTGCTATCTATGAGGTCATTCACTTTTTAGAAGGTTAACTGTACACCAATAGAAATGGCTTTGAAGCTCAATTGCATTTTGTTCAATATTCCCTCAATTCAAATCAATTCCCAGTTTACTCTTTTTCCATTCAGACCCCAAACAATTCACATGTAAAGCCAGTGAATGAATATGATGATCTCTAAGAGAAAAGGTGAATTACGGATTGGGGAATTGATAGGAATGCTTTGCTTTGATGGAGAGACGATTATTAGGCAATGGTACAAATCCATATAGATAAATTAAGTTTTTTTTAAAAGCAGAAGTAATATTGGACAAATAATTAAAGATTTACATGAGCAATTATGTAGGAATTATTTTTAAAATCACAATTCATTCTGAGAATGGAGAGGAACTGAATATCAGAAATAGCCCTGGATGATTCTGATTGGACCGCTGCAATAATCAATTGAATATTTCAATTCCAAATAAGGTTTCCAAAATGTTAAAAGTCAGCTCTATTTCATATGAACACAATTAATAATTTTATATCTGAGACTGAGTGATTGTTGCTGGTCAAAGGGATAAAAGGCTTTCAGAGCCAAGTCAGGTATAGAGAGTGAAGTCACAGCTTTGCTGTCATCTCACTCAATTGCAGAATAGGCTTGAGGGGCTGAATGGCCTCTCCCTGTTTCTAATTGCAGAAAAAGATAGAAGTATCATAAAATGATTTATATCATTAAGCAAACAGTGAAATTCTGTTTAGTTTGATGATTTTAGTTTTGCAGCCAATCTAGTACTATCTTGACTATGGATGAAAACTCAAAAGTACAATGGAAACTTTTTAACTTGTAATTCCAAAAATTTATTCAAAGAGGGCTAATACAGACAAAAAATGGCTGCAGATATATATTAAGTAGCTGTGTGCAGAGAGACCAAGAAGGAATGTCACACTTTCAGACATGAAGAGCAGTTCAAACAACATCCTTTCAAAGATGTGAAGTGGCATCTCAAAATACAGAAGATTGTGATTGCTCGTGACTACAAAGATATCGAGGGGCTGACAATTCCCTGCTCAACCATCCCTGCGGATTATGTCCTAAACTGTCAGCATATTTTTGTGTACTGGATTTAAAAAAAAGCCAATTTCAATTCTACTGGACTGTGCTAGTGAGATTGATGTTCTCGTACGTACCAGCCTGGGTTCAAGCATGGTGGCTCAGTGGTTAGCACTGCTGCCTCAGAGACCAGGGACCCGGGTTCAATTCCACCCTCTGGCGACTGTCTGTGTGGAGTTTGCACATTCTCCCTGTGTCTGCGTGGGTTTCCTCCGAGTGCACCAATTTCCTCCCACAGTCCAAAGATGTGCAGGTTAGGTGGATTGGCCATGCTAAATTGCCCGTAGTGTTCAGGGGTCTGTAGATTAGGTGGGTTATAGGGGAATGGGTGTGGGTGGGATGCTCCAAGGTTCGGTGTGGACTTGTTAGGCTGAAGGGCCTATTTCCACTGTAGGGATTCTATGATTAGCATGCTGTGAAGCTAACAGTCAAAGAACTAATCCCTAGTCATCCCCATGTTGCAAGTAGACAGAAGAATCTCTCTCATTCCAAGTGCTGTAAACCCAACAAATGGAAACAGGACAGAAGGAATCTTTCTCACCCCAAATGCTGGAATGGCAGTCACACTCCAGTAAAATCGGAACTACAGATTTTCAATCTGTCTGCAAAACTCAAGATCATGAAGCTGGCTGTTCAACTACCAGTGTCAATGCTCCTCTACTGTAACAATCACAATGTTTGACCTATCGTTCTTTGCAAACAATTCAAAGATTATCCTGTATTTCTGCTTTTTTTTCACTTTCATATTTTCAGACTCACCTCTTGTTTCTAACTTGTATGTGTTATGTTACTAATTCTTTTCACATTCAGTGATTAATAAACTCACCCCTTTGTTAACTCAAGAGAGCCTGGTTAAATTGAGCCCTTTAAAACACAAGTTCTTTTGAGTCTGGGAGAAACAGCTGTGACAACTGAGGGGGCAGGTGATTAAACACAGAACCAGTTCAACCCTCTGATCCAGAAACTTAATGATTTGGCCTACCCCATTTGGAATCTGGGCAGTACATATATTGGTCTTGGATGGAGTACAACGTAGGTTTACAAGAATGATAGATAGACTTCAGGGGTTATGTTGTGAGGAGAGATTATACAAATTAGGCCTGTTTCACTAGAATTTAGAAGGTTAAAGGGAGATCTGATCAAAGTCTTCAAGATATTAACTGGAAAGACAGGGTAGATAAAGATGAACTATTTTCACTGGTTGGGGATTCTACAACTAGGGGCATAGTCTGAGAATGAGGGCCAGACCGTTCAGGAGAGATGTTAGGAAGCACTTCTACACACAAAGGGTGGGAGGGGTTTGGAACTCTCTTCCACAAACAGCAGTGGATGCTAGATCAGTTGTTAACTTTAAATCTGAGAGAGATTAAGGTATTAATGGATATGGGCCAAAGGCAGGTATATGGAGTTAGGCCGCAGTTCAGCCATGATCTCATTGAATGGTGAACAGGCTCAAGAGGCAGAATGGCCTACACCTGTTCCTGTGTTCCTAAATTGGGGAATATGTCCCAGAGTTGGGACACAGCAAAACTGGGGACTTATCTTCACCTGATCATTTCAGTCAGCAGTGTTGATGAAGTCAAAGTCAATTTTTGCTGATTCTTAGATCAGAATGAAGATCCCATGATGGCCAATGGATAGGTGACTGAAGCACAAGTGAATCAGTGGTGCCTGGACAGAAACTGGGCTTTGGCTTATATTTTGACATGGCTTACAGTGACAGATCTGGGAGTCGGGCAGAGCCTGACTTTAAGGAAAAGAACCTCATGGAATCCTACCATCCGCAGCCAAGACCGTGTCATAGCTGGAGCTATCAGTTGTGATGGTAGAGGCTCCAAACTTTTTTTTGCATTGAATGGCTGACCAAGACTCACTCTTACCACCTACCATTGGAATGTGTTAGAAGGATTTGCAAGTTCATAATCAGCTTGTTTCGCTGAATTATAAACTCACCTACCTTGGTTATCAAATTGTGGGTGGGACTCAAAATTGAAGTTTCTAGCTCAGAGGCCATGACATTACCCACTACACCACAAGACCTCTAAATATAAACATATCAGAAACAATTTCTGGTGTGTTCAGTAAAGAATTTAGTTGCATTACCCCAGCAGCTTCAGTTTGTAGTCTGGAGACTTTAGCAGCTCACACAGAAATTTAATCGCTTCAAAATCCAATTTATTTTCTCCACACCTACAATGTTTAAAATAAACATGAGAGTTTTTTGAAGTATAACTGTCTCAGTTTGGTTTTACATTTTAAAACCCTCACTCTATCCACTTTAGTGAAAGCCATGCATCCATGAATATCATTTCTATCACCTTTTAGTCTTGATGAAATTTCCTACACCAATCAGTGTGCATGCAAGGAGCCGTGATCCACAAAGGACTGGAAATTGTTTATGTGAAGCTGAGAGTAACCACAGTACAAGGTACAGTAACAACATATGAAACAGGAACAGTAGTAGGCCATTCAGCCCAACCCTGCCCTGCCATTCAACTTTATGGTTGATCTGCCCCAGGCCTCAACTCCTTTATCATGTCAGCTCAGCATAGCTGTCAACTTCTTGATATTTCATAAATCTACCTACCTCCTCTGCAGACACCTTCAGTGATTTAGCCTCCACAACTCTCTGTGGTAGAGAACTTCAGACATTCACTAATTTCTGGGGGAAGAAATTCCTCCGCATCTCAGTTTTGAGTAAATGTCTCCTTATTCTGTACCTATGTCCTCTTAGAACATAGAACATAGAACATTACAGCGCAGTACAGGCCCTTCGGCCCTCGATGTTGCGCTGACCTGTGAAACCAATCTGAAGCACATCTAACCTAAACTATTCCATTATCATCCATATGTTTATCCAATGACCATTTAAATGCCCTTAAAGTTGGCGAGTCTACTACTTTTGCAGGCAGGGCATTCCACGCCCTTACTATTGTTCAAGATTTCCTTACTAGTGGAAACATCTTCTCAACATCTACCTTGTCAAGCCTCTCAGAATCTTGGAGATAGCAAGAACTGATGCTGGAGTCAGACACAACACAGTGTGGAGCTGGATGAACACAGCAGGCCAAGCAGCATCAGAGGAGCAGGAAAGCTGACGTTTCAGATCAGGATCCTTCTTCAGAAATGGGGGAGGGGGAAGGGAGCTCAGAAATAAATAGAGAGGGGGGTGGTTGGGCTGGGGAAGGTGGGTGGGATCGTGATAGGTGAGTGCAGGTAGGGAGTGGTGGGGATTGGTCGGTGAGGTGGGAGGGGCAGATAGATGGGAGAGAAGATGGACAGGTCAGGTCAAGGAGTCAAGAGGGAGGGTTGGACATGGGATGAGGTCAGGGATGGAGAGATTTTAAAGCTCGTGAATTCTATGTTAAGGCCATTGGGCTGTAGGCTCCTGAGGTGGAGTATGAGGTGTTGCTCCTACAGTTTTCACGAGGCATCATTATGACACTGGAGGAGGCCCAGGATGGACATCCCCACCATCCCCTGCACCTTTCCCTACAACCACAGGAAGTGCTACACCTGGCCCTACACCTCACCCCCTCACCTCCATTCAAGGCACAAAACAAACCTTCCGGATTACACAGGGGTTCACCTGTACATTCACCAACTTGGTCTATTGCATCTGCTGCTCCCGAAGTGGCCTCCTCTACATTGGTGAGACCAAGTGGAGACTCAGAGACCACTTTGTAGAGTATGTGCACTCTGTACGCTATAATCAACAACACCTTCCAGTCACGAACCATTTCAACACCCCCTCCCAGTCCCTGGGTGACATGTCCATCCTGGGCCTCCTCCAGTGTCACAATGACACCACCCGCAAACTGGAAGAGTAACACCTCATATTCCGCCTACAGCCCAATGGCCTAAACATGGAATTCACCAGTTTTAAAATCTCCCCACCCCTGTCCTCATTCCATGTCCAACTCTCTCTGTCATCCCAGCCTCCTTGGCATGACACAATCTGTCCATCTTCTCTCCCACCTAACTGCTCGTCCCACCCATCCCACTGACCAATCCCCACCACTACCTACCTGCACTCACCTATCACCACCCCTTCCCCAGCCCCACCCCTCCTCTCTCTATTTATTTCCCAGCTCCCTTCCCTCTCCCCATTTCTGAAGAAGGGTCCCAACCCGAAACATCAACTTTCTTGCTCCTCTGATACTGCCTGGCCTGCTGTGTTCCTCCAGCTCCACGCTGTATTGTTTCTCAGAATCTTTTTTTGTTTCAGTGAGATCACTCTCATTCACCTCAACTCTGAATTAATAAAGGCCTTCCTTGTTTAGCTATTCTTGATAAGTCAACACCTTTATCCCAGAAATGAGTCTTGTGAATCTCTTCTAAAGAGCCTCTAATGCCAATGTACCCTTTTTTAAATATGGGGACAAACACTGTACACAATACTCCAGATGCAGCCTCATTAACACCATGTACAATTCTAACAGGACTTCCCTGTTTTAAACTCTAACTCCCTCGTAATAAAAGGTCAAAATGCTAAATAACAACCAAAAGAACCGCGGATGCTGTAAACCAGGAACAAAAACAAAGTTGCTGGAAAAGCTCAGCAGGTCTGGCAGCTTCTGTGGAGGAGTAAACAGAGTTAACATTTTGGGTCTGGTGACCCTTCCTCAGAACTGAAGAACAGAACATCAGTTCTGAGGAAGGGTCACCGGACCTGAAACGTTAACTCTGCTTTCTCCTCCACAGATGCTGCCAGACCTGCTGAACTTTTCCAGCAACTTTGTTTTTGGTCCTAGGTCAAAATGCTAGTTGCTTTCTTAATTACTTGCTTCACCTGCATGCTAATGTTTGTGATCCATGCACAGGGACACCCAGTTCCCTCTGTACTACACATTTTTGGAGTCTTTCTCCACTTAAGTATTGGTCTTCCTTTTGAATCTTCCTACCAAAATGCATGACCATACATTTCCCTACATTAAGCTCCATCTGCCAAGTATTTTTTTTCCCATTCATTCAACTGATCTATATCCCCTTGCTTATACAACATGACCTCTCATGTAATTTTGTATTGTCAGCAAATCTGGATACTTTACACTCTACCCCTTCCTCCAAGTAATTGATATAGATAGCAAATAATTGCAACCCTAGGCCTGATTTTTGTGACACTTCACAAGTTATATCAAAGACCTATTAATCCAGATTCTCTGTCTTGTATGTTAAACCATCCTCAACCCATGCTAATACATTACCACCAACACCGTATGCTCCTTCATTGTGCAATAGCCTTTTATGTGGCACCTTATCAAATGCCTTTTGAAAATTCAAATAGCTTCATTTTATGGTTTCCCTTGATCAAATCTACTTGTTATATCCACAAAGAACTCTAGCAAATTTGTCAAACATGATTTCTCTTTCAACTAGGTTGACTCTGTTTGATTGCATTAAGTTTTTCTAAATATCCTCCTTAAAAATAAACAAATATTTGACTAACTGGCCTTCAGCTTCCTACTTTCTGTCTCTCTCCAATCTTGAACATGGATGTCACGTTAGCAGTTTTCCAATCTGCTGAAACTGTTCCAGAATCCAGTGAGATCTGTCCAATGCCTCCTATCTCTGCAGCTACTTCCTTTAAAACCTAGATGCAGCCCATCTGGTACTGACAACTTGTCTGTCGTTAGTCTGTCAAATACTTTGGCCCTGCTAGTGGAAAATGTTCCAAGATCTCTTCTCTCGTTAGCACTTTACTTATCTCTTGGTTGCCGTTGGGATGTTTATGATGTCCTCCACTGTGAAAACTGATGCAAAATATTAGTTTAGATTATCTGCCATTTCCCTATCCTTGGTTATCAATACCCCACTTGCATCCTCCAAGGCTTACTTTAGCTACTGTCTTTTTATATACATGTAGAAGCTCTTGCTGTTTGTTTTTATATTTTCTGCCCATTAGCTTTCCTAATCAAGTTTCCCCCTCTTTGCTAGCTTTTCAGTCACCTGGTGCTAGTTCCTAAAAGATTCCCAATCCTCTGGCCTACCATTAGTTTTTGCCATTTCGTATGCTTTAGTTTTTGATTAAGTACTCTCCTTGACAACCTTTGTTAAATACAGGTCGTTCATCCATCTCATTCTTTTCAGAAGAATTTTTTGTTGAGTGTAATGAAACATCTGCCATTACTCATCCACTGACTTTCCCCTTGTCTATTTTTTGCCCCCACTTTAGACAACTCTTTCTTCATACAGCTGGTACAGGCACTGAACCCACATTGTTAAATTTATTCTGCAAAACACTCTCACCATTAAGTCAACTGAGCTAAAACTGATAGGTAGCATTACTAGTAACATGGAGGAACTAACAACTAAATTAACTCTTACAATCGTACAGCACTGAAGGAGATCATGCAACCCAAATTAACTATTCTTTCCCTAAAACCCTACAATTGTTTTCCTTTTCAACTATTTATGCTATTCCCTTCAGAAAATTACTATAGAATTTGTTTCCATTTCCATTACAGGCAGTGCATTCCAGGTCATAACTTCTCAGCTGTGTAAAAATACCTTCAATCACCGGGCTCTATAATTTATTTTTTCTTTATTCTTTCATGGGATTTAGGTGTCACTACAAGGTGTCAGTGCTGAGGGAGTGCTGCAACATCAGCGGGTCAGTACTAAGGGAGCGCCACACTGTTGGATTAGAGAGGTAAAATGCCATGGGGAATTATAGGAAAAAAAACATAGAGGAATGAGGGAAAGAAAGCAGGGAAGTGAAATATAAAACCAAGGGAAATGGGTGAAAGGTATTTGTTAGGTCTAGCAATAACAGAGCCACAATAAGAAAGAGACTGGAAACTTTGAATGCTGATGGGATAAGTCCATATAGAGCAGTTTGTATTAAAAAGGCAATACTGTCCCTTTCATGGCACCATCCAAAGCAAGTTTCCACTGAGTGGATTTAAATTCCGCCATGGGAAGTTGTTATCTTTGATGCAGGATAATTTGCACGAGAAAATAGATCCTGAAACCTGCTGGTCTTTTCTGGAAACCCCAGTGGTTCTAATGTCCTCGAACCAGCTACATAATTGAATTTAACTGCCCACAAGGTAACTAGTGAGGAGAAATAAACATAGCCTTGTCCAGGTCACCTAGCAAAGATATTAGAAAGTCCTTACCATAATCTCTCACAATGGTGTAAAAATGGTTGTAGACTCTTCAGTGCTGCAGTGTTTATACTGGTTGCTGTGATATCTAATTCTTCTAGATCTCCAATCCTCATGTTTAGAAAGTATTTTAGCACAGTGACATCAACTGGACAAAGTGCATTGTCCCCAATGTGGATGCGGAAATTTTTAGGTTTTATTCTCTCCGCTAATGAATCATTTTGCTGTTCGAACAGACAGTGCAGAAGGTTCAGAATGCTTGATCCATTTTCACAATGCTCTGTGATCTCTTCTATCAGCCAGTAACAGTAGGACTCAGATTTTGTGACTTTATCCAATTTCATGTGCTTGGAGAGTAAGGCCTGGTTCCTCTCAGATAACAGACCAGATAAGAATCGTTGGAATATATCCAAGAAGCCTGTAGCCATCTTGTATTTGTTCATCGTGTCCATGTTCATCAAGTCTGGGAAAGGCTCGGGTTCCAGTATGTAATGCAAGGCTGCAAAAAACTCCTGGATGGTGAAGTGTGTGAAGGAAAAGACATTCTCTACACAGTCCGGTTCCTGGACAGAGGTCTTATCCAGAAAACTATCTACAAAGGTATTTAATTCAACATGATGAGCCTCCAAATCATGTTGGTAGAACAGGGTGTCGTGCTGCAGCAGTTTGGCATATGCCAATCTGCCCAGATTTCGGAGAGTTTGTGTGAGGTCTACTCCTCCAGAGGGCTGAACTCGGGAGTGGTGCTGTAGCAGCGCACTGAGGTAGCGGCTATAAATGTCTGTCATTGTTTTTGGCTGTTTATGATTCTCCCTTTCTTTCTCTTTCAAAACACTGCAAACTATATAACAAAAGGCAGGTATAAAACACAGTGTAAAGAGGAATTCATTTTCTTTCACAAGCTGAAACATTCGACCACCAACTTCTTCATCTTGGTAATATTTCAGGAAGTAGTATCTGATTTCCTTTTCAGAAAACCCAGTGATGATTACAAAGCGGTCAATGGTTTCCACTGGGATGTGGCTAATGGCTGTGGGTCGGCTGGTCAGTAGGACCGAGGCCCCAGTGAGAAGCTCCCCTCGCAGGAGGCTGTAGATGACATCCACCAAATTCCCTTCCTCATCAGGGTCAGTGATGTAGCAATCCCCATCTAAACAACCACAAAACTTAAATTCATCAAATCCATCCAGAATTATCAGCAGCTTCTCTGGAACCTCAAAAACAGAATCGAGCACTTTCCACAAATGACCATTCTTCTTCAAAACCAGATTCCTGAGACTCATTGGTTTATTAATCAAATTAAGATCCCTAAACGTGAATTGTAGGAGAAACTCGAAGTTATCAAAACACTGATTATTCGCCCAGTCAAAAACAATCTTCTGCAAAAGGACAGTTTTCCCTATTCCCGCTACACCAGAGACTAGTGTTCTCTTGGGAGCTCGTTTATCATTGATTTGCATAAATAACTGGCCTGGTTTGATCTCCATTTGCTGGCTGCTCCTCTCCTGTAAATGAATTCGATGCTGCCCAAAGGACAGTAACTCATGCCTTTTAAATTCAAGGTTGTGATGCCCTTTTACAAGCAGCAAGTTGGTGAACTGTTCTGAAAGGTGAATTTTTTCTCCAGGTCTTGTGTTATAATACATCATCACCTCATTCCTCCGGCTAAGAACTTGTTTATGTTTCTTTATCACAGACAAGTGTTCTGCAGAGACATAAAACTACATTTCAAATATTACAGGTATAAAATGTTTAAGAGCAACCTCGAAGAGAATTGAAGGATCTGTTAATGGGGTTGAAATGGCTGAGTGGTATTATTCCTAGACCATTAATCCTGAAGCTCAGCTAATGTTCTAGGAACCTGGGCTCAAATCCCACCATGGCAGATGATGGAATTTGAATTCAATAAAAGAATCTGGAATTAAGGATCTTTTAATGACCATGAAACCATTGCCGATTGTCAGGGGAAAAACCTGTCTGCTTCACTAGTGTTCTTCAGGGAAGGAAATCTGTCATCCTCACCTGGTCCGGCTTATGGGTGACTCCAGGCCCACAGCAATGTGGGTTGACTCCTAAATGCCCTCTTAACTAGACAATTAGGGATGGACAATAAACATTGGCCCTAGCCAGAGATGCCTACATCCCAAAAATGGATTAAAAAAAGAGAAGTGAGAGTAAATATTACCATGGACTCTTTGGCTGAATCGCCTGTTTCTGTACCGGAGATTTACTGTAATAATCAAATTGAATCAAGTTACAGTGATGAGTTTAGCCAATTAGCATAACTAACTCATATACTCATCACTTTCTCTGTAGTCTGGTGCCCAGTATTTCTTTATTTAAACAGTTTTGTAATCAGTTGCATACTTTTCCCTCTCCAGTTTTCATCTTCAAATCAGTCCATTACAGAGCAGCATTAATATCCCAGGTACTGAGTTGAGACTGACCCACAATCTAAATAGCTGATTAAACCTCTACAAATTTGCACAAACTACAACTTAATAATCATTCTCGATCATTTGCCTGTGGCCGATATTTACTCCTCAACCAGTCACTCGAAGTGATAATCTGATGTGCAAATAAAGCTCTCACAAGTAGCAAATTGATTGTCAGGCTCCCTTTGTTACAACAGTGGCTGCTCAAAAAAATACTTAATTAGCTTTAAAGCATTTGGGGATGTCCTGAAGCCATGAAAGATGCCAACAAAATCCAAGTCGCTCACTTTTTCTTACAGTAAGTAGTGATATTGTAATATTGTAGTGATGTCTATTCTGATGATCTATTGCACAGACTATCCAACAAAACTGTTGACTCTACCAATGTTGGTTCAACCTTTTTCATGTCCAGTTCTGTGATCCACATTCATTCTGAGAGTGCTATCTTCAATAAATCATTCCTTACTCTTTTGACAGTACTATTCACAATAAATGTAAAGAAAATCTCTGTATTTAAGTTGTGTTCAAAACTATGACTCTCACATTATTATCAAGGAGTTTTGACAAACACAGATGCATAAAGCTGTAGTTACACAGTAAGTACAACTGATCAGTCAAGGGCCAGCATGATAATATTTTCCTCCACCATGAAGTGACACCAATTTACACAGGTTTAGTATCTCAGTATGGGTAAAACTGCTTCACAATCACACCAAACTGGACCATGAAGGCAGCCAAAACTGGAGCAAAATGTTCCAAATTGAGCTAACATCAACCTCCTTGTACTTTCCAAACCCATGATTTCTACCATCTATAAGGACAAGGGCACCAAATACATGGGAACACCACCCCCTGTAAGTTCCCCTCCAAGCCACTCACCACCCTGACTTGGAAATATATCATTGTTCCTTCAGTGTTGCTGGTTCAAAATCCTGTAACTCACTCTCTAACAGTATTGTAGGAATCCCTACATCCCAAGGAATGCAGCGGTTCAGAAAGGCACCTTATCACCTTCTCAAGGGCAGTTAAGGACAGTCAACAAATGATAGCTTAGCCAGCAATGCCTATATCTTATGAAGAAATAATTAACAAAACATTTGCATCAACTTTACTTATGAAAGGTCATTATGTTAATCAATGGACAGCTGCTTACCCCTGGACCCAGGTTCTTTATCAGACATATCTTTGCTTTTGTTAATGAGTAAACTGAATTGTTCGGCCACCATTTCCCCAAGACAGTCAACAATATCCAGCAAAGTTCTAACTTTCTTCCTGGGTCCTGGGATATACTTCACATCTTCATAAGCATCCTTTGAAATTAATTGAATTTGCAAGGCATGATCCAGAATCGAGTCGATTTTGTCTCCAAGTTCATCGATGAGCTTCACTCGGTTCCTCTGGAGCAGCTGAAGATAGGAGATTCTGCAAACATAGAAGACAATTTCTCTCAGCCACTGAACAGCAAGGAACTTTATTCCCAAATCTCCAGATTGTGAACTGAGTGTAAAACATTATTCAACACCAATATCATTTGCAAGTTAGTGTTTTAAAGAAAGGATTTGTATTCACTTACACCTCATCACATCCCAAAATTCTAAACAACATAACTCGCAGCAACCATGTTAGAAACAAATTAATGACAAAGGAAAGAATGTGATGGAGGTCTTGTACAGTCAGTTTGAGGATTGATGAAGAAAAATGAAGTGCAATAATTCAGGATTATTCAGGTCACAATAATGCTCACTGGCATATAACATAATGGATATCAAGCCTGTTCAATAAGATCATGCTGGATTTAATCTGTTAAAAGTGAAACCATTATAGTTTATCCAAGCATGAGCCATGGTATCAAAATCTTAGAGACAATCTTCTGCTCTTAGGATACAAGAACAATCTCTGGGGCCCAGCGCTGATTATATCAGAGTACTGCCAACCTGCGCAATCTTCCTGGAGGTGGCCAATTAAGAAGTGATCTCTCTGTATGCCATCCATCAAGTAAGGACAGGAAACTTACGAGGTGGAAGGTCCAATAAGAGGGCTTGAAGCAATAAGTGGCTCTAGGTTCCACTGGGAGAGATGGAACTGATGGAGCATGTAGGAGAAAGTGAGGCCACCTCAGGAGGAAATGCCTCAAAATGCAGATGTTTTCTAAAGCTGCCTGACAACTGAAAAATTAAGAATACCCACAGCTATCTGGCCGTCACTATAACGTGGGAATCCTTCCACAGGATTTCGTGTGGCTACAGATCTGGCAGATTCCTGTGTCAGTCTAGAGGGTATCTGCAATATACACCCCAGATAGTGTTATAGAATGTGGTGTTCTGGTCTGCAGTAAACTTGATGCTGCAACATGCCACATTTTTGTAAGGAAAAGAATGCAAGGAAGATCAAATCTCCTTAAATGACAAGGACTTGTTGGAGCTTGAGGAAGGCCTATCCAAATGAGGCTTTTATGGACACCAGGGCCATGAAAAGAGAAGGAAGGGATGCCACAAACTGTGTGATCAACGTAACTTTCACATGACAATGAGGCTTCTGCATGACCTTTACTCTATCACCTTCCAGGGATGTCAACCCAGCACTGCCATCCTCCCTCGCTGAGTTAATCATTGACCTGCATCTCCTACAACCTCGAATAGAATGGGGAGCAGAGCTTTGTCACATACACTTGCCACTGAGTGCTGGGACTAAGGACATCTTAGTGGCCTGTGGATGTCCATATAAGAGCATGACTTGCCCAATTATTCTGATAGAGCACCATGTTCACCTCATACATACCCACTGAAAGTAAATAGGGCTAATCTCCTCTACAATGAAAAGTTGGGGAGCAGCTGTGGCCATGTCCCACAGAATGATCATCAAATTACAGTTCACATGAACATGCAATAAAGAACCCACAAAAATACGACACATCTCTTTCACTCATAGTGTCTGTGTCCCTAGCGGTCCCTAGCAACCATCACATTGTGAGAAACACGGGTCAGACCACAAAAAGTTTTGAAAATTAATTGCGATTCTTTTTACAAATGAGACAGAAGTGGAAAATCACTCATGTCACCTTGTTTATACGTTCTTCAATTTCTTTCTCAAAACCATGTCTAGGTGCAATTCTGATGTTGCAAGCTGATGGTAGTTGGTATGCACTCCTCCTCCAGGTAGGTATTTGGACTCACTTCCTGTCCTTCTGAGGGAGTAGGGGCACCTGGAGGGAGGTCAGGGTGCTGCTTCCCCCTTTCACCTAGCTATTTAAAAATTATTTATTCAGGAGATTTGGGCTTCACTAGATGGGCAGCATTTATTGTTCATCCCTAATTGTCCTTGAGAAGGTGATGAGCTGCCTTCTTGAACAACTGCAGTCCAGTGGGTGAGGGTAACTGAGGGTCTGGTGCATATGGATCAGATGCTCAACCTGGTCCACCCTAAAAGTTTCAGTCATCTCCATGGAGTAGCCACATGCTCAAATGTCTGAGACATGCAGAACTAACGGTGTGTGTGGACTCCTCCACACCCCACACAAAACTGCATATCACCCCTGACATCTCCACCATATCGCTCCCAGTCTCTGCTACATTTCCAGCTGTGGCTGTGACCACTGTCCCATCATCAGCGTGGGTGTCAGCAAGGACGTGGTCCCTGGCAATCTTCCAATCATGTGTGGACCTGGCTGCTATGTTTTCCTTCAGCTACGGGGACAGGTCTGTGGGGTGCCCACCAGATTGTGCTCAGTGACTCTGCTGTGGTCCCGGTAGCTTTAACTATGCTTGTGGATGTGGATATTCAGGAGATGATGGTGCATCCTGTAGGGTAATGGCTGCTTTATCC